CGAAGCACAAAACAGCATGCAGACACGCTTTGTTCGTTCCATGATCCGCGTGTGCAGTTGGGATTCGGTTCCGCTTAGCATAATACTATACAATTGGTAGTCACCAGTACATTATTCGAATCAGTTTTGGGCTACATAGAGAGCTAGTAGCAGCTAGTGCTGCAGGTTTAACACAGACCAGGACCCAGGACATCAGGGTTGTCACAGCTACCACTACGATTTCTTCTAGCTGACTAAGGCTGTAACTTGAATAAGAGAAACATCGGGGTCAGATTACGTGTGGTACCAAGCCTACTATGGATGGCCTTAGGGCTGCTGTCAGGGCGAACTCCCATTGACATAAGGGCGAATGACAAGGATAGGGTAAGGGTTGATGTTCCAGGAGTCAGTTAGCGATCCTCGTCAATATGCTGGTATTTAGTACAGGTTTAACCTTGGGGTCAGCATGTGTATATACACATAAATGTACATACACGCATACGGGCAAGTCCGACAGTAAATCCGAGATGATCATATACTACATACTACAGGGGGTGCCATATACAATATGTTGGGGTAAACAAACAAATGCTGGTATCATCCCTATTAATAATCTCTGAGGCCAATGGTCGGGGTTTCTCCTAAAACCGCTATTCGGATTGCTGTGGAAGGATGTATCCTGTGCAGTACGAAGGTTACCAATGGGAACAGCNNTGCAAGTAAGGTCCATCTTGGAGTCAAATTCAATATTCGCATCGCCAAGAGGACTGCAATATCCTTACAAATAGAAGGCCAATCAGGCTGATGTATGTTACTGTATTGACCTTCAGGTCGATATGGGAGTAAATATGGGGATGTATACTGGGGTTCCGTCGACATAGCATTTTTACTCCATACGAAATAACACGTGGATCTAGAAGGAAGCTCTTTTGGGGATCATGAAATCGAAGACTACTATCACCATTGGGGCCGATGCAAGGTCTAATGGCAGGGTGAGTCTTAGGGATATTGTTGTTTAGGAGTAGCAGTCAGTCAAGGCCCACGATCATTCATACGTATTGCTGGGGCTTTGATCTGAGACTACAGTGAAGGCTACGTTGAGAGAGAATAACACTCGGGCCCATATTGAGCTTCGGGTATTCAGACAGAAATGAATTTCATCGTTGGAGAAATCATCTCCCGGAGTATCTGCGTGAGGGGTCGCAAGAATTGAGAGTGAAGGCTTTGCCGATATACGTATGCTATCTCTTCGGAGCTTCAAAACCTATCGTCAAACCTGGGTCATACACCAGAAGCCTAAACGTAGGAGGAGCGGTGGTTGAAGAGGGGGGTTAGCATATGTATGTATATATTATATATATGTATATAATAATATACATACATACATACATACATACATACATGCATACATACATACATACACATCCATGCATCCTCTCATCCAAGTCACTCACTATCATCAGCTTGGGCTTTCATTGTTTCCATCCGTTTTAGTTTTTCTCTTTTCTTCCTTTTGTTTCTCTCTCGCTCTCTCTCTGTCGCTGTGTTCTGTTTTTCATGTTCATGGTCTGCACAATCGGAAACGCTCGCGCTGTGCCTCGATGGGTTCTTGTGTGGCTGCCGCAGTGTTGGAGCTATGGTCGTCTGGGCGGTTCAGAAGCCATGGCTGAAACAGAACTTGCCGTACCGGGCTGCCCACTTTCCAGCCTTTCCTGGGCTGGGTGGTTTGGGCGGTAATCCCTGGCAGCAACAGCGGCGACCCCCTCCAACTGTGCCGGCAGACTTCCAGGCCTGGCGGACGAGCTTTCGATTCGGTACCTTTCAATATGGCCCATTCAGGTGGATTCCAATGCTCGGCATTTTGGAACATGCGTCTACTATCACAAGTGGAGGGGGTATGGGTGCCGCGCTTGCAGCGGAAGTTAACGATGAGTGGTGTGTGTGTGTGCCTTGTACGTCGCTTATGTCCGTTGAGGTTCTTGGAGCCAACTCATGTGGGCACGGTCCCTACGAACAAAGTCTTCGTCCACTGGAAGCAACTTACCAGTGATGACCGGTTTCCCTTTCTGGTCAAGGGCATGGAGGCACGACTCTTCAGACGCTTGTGTTCGCTTTCTCGGAACAGCGCAGGTGGAATTCAGCCTCATGGTGTCCAAGGACTTCCACAGAGGGCTCAACACCCTCCGGGCCAAGAACGTTACTCTGGTGCGCAGCCTTCCTTCAGATTCTCGGGTCCTGGTATCTGCCGGTGCGACAGGTCGGAGGAGAGAGCATCGCCCTCCAGGATGAGTTGGACGCGACGGAAAAGCAATTCGTGGGCGGACAACACCTGAGGTACACTGGAACCTTGAAGTTCTATTCGCCCAGGCCAGAAATGAAGCATTCGTATCTCTGCACAGCGCTGCGCTGCCCAGTGCTTGCAGTGGGCAGGCATGGATTTGGCTATGTCATGATGGACGAAGGACGGCATTCTCTGCCTTATTTCCTGCATCGCATGCAGCAAACCAGGCTATGATGTGGAAGCCAGCGTCCCGCTCGAGCTCCGGGTGGACCATGAAGAGGCAGCTGAGAATCTGAGAAAGTGGTTGGGCAGCAGCGCCTCGTCCTGAAGTGCAGGTCAACGCCGCGGGGCAGCAGCCTGTCCACATGCGTGACATTGCCGTTGAGTTTGGCATCTACCGGTCCGGCCCTAAGACATGTGCCTGCGCCCGTGCCATGTCTCCTCATTCCTTCGAAAACCTGGTAAACGACAAGCCCTCAAGGCTAATTGAGACTTGACAGTCGTAAACTTCGTAAACTGGGCAATCCCTGAAGAACATTTGTTTTGGAGAGCCCGGACAGGACCGATCGCGGCCAGTACAAGGTCTACAACATGACTTTGCAAGGTGGTCATCCTCTGACCCAGGCGGCTCACTGCCTTACGTGAATCAAACTTGTGCTTGAGTCTGCTTGAGGATGCGTTGGAGAACCGAATCTCCATGGGAATGGGCATGTACAGAGGTCAAATCGCATTTTGGAACTGGAGGCAAGCCTGGCCAGGGGTGTCCTGCGATGTCCAATGTACACTTGATTTCTCTTTTCGGGAAGGCAAGGCTATGGCTTTATTCGGCCCGACCCGACAGCCATCCTACCGGAGAAGGCAACATGATCCGCATGAATCTGCAAGGTTTCTGAATCCCTCAAATCTGTTGTCCCGTGTCTTTTTGCTTGCTTCGGCATCCAAAGCGGAGCTTCCCTGCCGAGGTGGTGGCACGTCTTGTCGAGCAAGCAGAGGCCGCACGCAAGCGGGGCAAGCGGATAGCCGAGGAGCGCAGCATAGCACAGCGAAAGTTTCGGCTAAGCGTCGGCCGGTTGTATGGTGTTAGCATCGTTATATGATTTGCGTTTGCGAGGATAGTCTCCTTTATTTCCGGCGGCCAGATGTCACACCGATGCTGATTCCACAGCAGGGCATGCAGGCGGAGCGGTTTTTGTGCCCTGAGCTAGCAGCAAGCGGTTCGATCCTTCAACGGAATTCCCGCAGAACAGCCAACATGCTCTTCTTTTTCAGTGGTGCTTGATGGCGCGCATGGCTCAAAGCAGGCGGCAACGACTATCTAGACTTCGCCGGCCATCGTCAAAGCCCACCCACCCACACCCACATCAGCAGCCGAAGGATCGCTCTTCGGCTGCCGCGACCTTCCCCTTGTTGTGCTCTCTCCTGTGACCGTGCGGCCGACGAATCTGGAAAGCCATTCCCAGAGCCGTTCGCTATCCGAAAAGGGGTCAGACAAGAAGATTCGAATCCGGGTTTTGGGTCATGCCGCGGACCGCCAAACAGCTGGTCACGCATCCTCTAAGCTGGAGCTTTCAGCTTGCCGATGCTATGATTCTGCAGCTATGAACGAGATGAAGGCAACTCCATAATAGCGGACGATCAGCCTTTACACAGCATGTGGTCTGCATTAGTCTGTTTGAGCAAGTCTTCTCCATGATCCTCTAGTGACTCTAGTGCAGTCCCGCAGAACCACGCAGGCGGAAGAACATTACGAGAACAGCCCGAACCGCACGGCAAAGCACCGTCCGGAGATCGGAATCATCCAAACTAGAACAGGAGTTGCCTGGTGTCAGTGAAAGACCTCACATAGTGTAACAGTGAGGTCTCAGAGCCACTGATGAACACCATAAAACCCCTCCGTGGCGGGAGGTGGAGTTGAGGGCAAGTCCCCAGCTCCGCACAAACATACATGTTTTGAGCTGCTGTGTATATCATGTCATTGTTCCCAGGCTCCTCAAGGAGGCTGAGTCCAGGTTTTATCGCGCCGTACAAGTTGAGAGGGCAGTGCGAAGGGAACATTAACAAATGCAGATGTTCAGATGCTCACGAAAATGCTCATGCAAGTGATTTGCATGACATAGAACCGATGCCATGCAGCAGTGGGAATGCGCAGCAGAGCATGCCACTCCGTGGGTTGCTGCCTGATGTGCAGGTTGGCTTTCAAGTCTACATCGATGACAAGGGAGCTGGAGCATGTGATGTCACTGCCTAGGCATCCCCGGTCTGACAGAAGATTTCACCCCCTCGCAGAGGGCACAAGGACAGAACGGACATCAAGGGAGCGAGTATTGCATAGCAAAGATGGAAGTGCTGTATGCAAACAAGCTTCGAAGACACTCATCCACTGGCCAATACTGTAAATGCTCTGGTCTTCGCGACCCGTTCGTCTCTTTCTAGGTTTGTTGGATCGCATGCCTGGCGTGTGATTTGACAAAAGGCATCTGAAGCCGAGAATCCGCTTCTTCGTTGCTGCATGCTACGGAGAGTTTGAGACTTGTGATGGTGGTGCTGGTGGTGCTGTAGTCGTGCGTCTGATGCTGCTGCTGTTGCCGGTGATGTTGCTGGTGAGGTGCTGCTGCTGCTGCTGCTGCTGCTGCTGCTGCTGCTGCTGCTGCTGCTGCTGCTGCGTGGTCGTGGGTGGCAGCGGTGGTGGTGGCAGCGGTGGTGGTGGCAGCGGTGGTGGTGGCAGCGGTGGTGGTGGCAGCGGTGGTGGTGGTGGTGGTGGTGGTGGTGGGCGGTGCTGCTCCGGCATGACTGCCATATCATCATTGACATGTTCCTTGCCACTGTCATGTCATGGTCATCATATGTCATCATCATCATCATCATCATCATTACCATCAACATCATCACCAGCATCAGCACCATCATCGTCATCAGAATCGTCATCAGCAGCATGACCGCCATAGTCATCAGCAGTAGCGGCAACATCATCAGCAGCATCATGGTCGTCGTCATCGTCAACATCATCTTCATCGTCATCGTCATCATCACTGTCATCCGATCATGGCCATTCTGTTTGGCGGCCTCTGCTGCAGCAGCAGACCAACATCACCACGACTTGTGTCAGCAGCAGCAGGAGGAGGAGCAGCAGCAGGAGCAGCGGCAGGAGCAGCAGGAGCTTCACGGCCACGCTGTCGCGCCTGTGCTCGTTGCAGTTTAACCGCATTTGTGAGGGATGTGCCCTGATAAGTGAGGCGCATTGTTGTTTATACAAGTTTTTGCGGGTAAGTCAGTCATTCGTGAAACGGTTGTTGGTTTTTCCTGGCTTCTTGGACCAGTAGCTTCGCAATTCTGACTTGTTTTCGCTTTGGTTGTTTTGCTGCTTGATGGCGGCCTTGTCGCTTCGCTTCTTGTTTGCCTCCCGACTGTTGTGTTTTTTGGCTTCTGGCTTGCCAAGCGTGTCGGCGACAGAGTTCGATACGGAACTCTTGCGCCCAGTCGTTCGAGAGTTCGACCTGCCACATGTCGTAGCCATCACAATGGCTCCAACCTCTGAACTCGTCCAGATGTGGCAAAGCACGCGCGTGGACGGGAAACTTTCAGAATGTTGTAAAGCAGAGCGTTATGCATCATTGGAGGCCACCACATTGCAGAAAACTCTTGAGACCTTGCAGCCCTACAGGCAGCATGGATTCCTGTCACTGCTGAACAAGACCAGCATTGATCCTTGAACCCCCCGAAGCTCGCAAAGCACAGTATCATGCAAGATTGAACCTCGCCCGAGGCTCGGTAAGGACCGCAGCTTGATTGTTGGTCCTTGCATAACTGCCCGTCACTAGACCCTGAGCCCTCAGCTCATGCAGAACCAAAGCCAGATCTCGAGGGTTCCAAGTGTCGCAATGACGGAGCCCCGCAACGTCCAAAGTGACGTGCCGGCGGACAAGGGTCGGGCCTCCAACGGAGGCGCTTTGGGGGACGCGACCAGTGGTCCAGAGTGCCCAAGTGCAGAGATGTGCAGAGGATCCTCTGAGAACTTGGCGGCACCATCCCCGCTCGATCGGGGCAGATCGATGAGCCCAGTTCAAACGAGCACAACTGCCGCGCGTGTGCCTGAGCACTCCTTGGCAGATCTTGAGCAGAAGCCCAGGAGATGCATGGATCTTCTGAAGTTGTAGGATTCTGCACAAGCACCATGTGCACGTGCTCACACTGCAGGCAAAGCAGATCGGCGTCAGGTGCCATGACTCACAGAGGACAGCCGGCCGAAACTGCAATGTTTTCGATGCTCGAGACGCGCTTCAGGAGCCATTCCTCATGCCTGGGCCAGCGGAGAAGGGCCAGTGGCATCTCCCAGGAATGTGTTTTGACTTTGTAATCGTGCATCAGAATCCGTGCGAAAGGAAGTTGGTTCGGAGTTCAACCGCTCATGGGCTTTTACTCCTTTGCTTAGTTGCCCCAATCGCTAGCGTTTAGAGCAAACCCCCAATCGCTAGCGTTTGGAAATCGGCGCCCGCACTCCGCAAGGTTTGGATTCAAAGAGTGCGAAGACTCACGAATGATATTTGCCTTGCGTGGGCCAAAACAGGCAATCATGTAGCCGTCTGCATGGCCAGTCAAAATTGCAAGCGATTGAAAACAGGCACTTGCATTTCGCAAGGCATCGGATTCAAGGCACACTAAGACTCAGCAGTAATTTTGTGCCCAAACAATCATTTAGCCGTTTGCATGGCCAGTTAAAATCGCTGGCGTTTGGAAATCGGCACCTGCATTCCGCAAGGCCGCGGATTCCAAGCACGCTAAGACTCAACAATGGTTTTTCCTCGTGCCAAAGCAATCTTTTGGCTGTTTGCATGGCCAGTTAAAATCGCTAGCGTTCGCGAGGGTTCCGTTCAAGTCGCTATACCGGTTGGCTTTGGGAGCTTTCGTGGAAAAAGGCAAACGCAGTGCCCAAACTGTTTTACTGCACTCCCGACACTTGCGAATGACTTTTCCTTCCGCCGCCACAAAAACCATTTGGCTGATTGGCTCATCTTCTGGTGCTTATGCCTTAGGGCTCCAATCGCTGGCGTGGGTGTTTGGGAACTCATGAGAAAAGGAAGTAAGATACGCTTGGTGCAACTAAGCTCCTTTGTGGCACTCTGAGCGGCAGGGTTGGCAGATTCATTAAACGCACGAAGCTGACGACCCGTGGATGCAGCCAGCACGCTTGTGGAAAGTCCAGTGGTTGGAGCCGGGTGGCATGACCTTTCTGTTCCGGCAATTGGTTTTTGTTGACCATGACGGGTGTAGTTCCGACGTGACCCGGGCGGGCTTAGTGGGGAAAGGAAGGATGAAGTCGTCTCTTTGGTGCGACGAAAACAAGACTTGGATTCCAAGCAAATGTTGTCGATGTTGTGAAAACATTGCAAGGTACAATAGTGCTAAACCGTTCAAAGGGTTCCAGGATAAATGCATTCAACCTAGATCCACATACTTGCCGAACATGTTTAAAGTTTGAACATGTTTGACAAGTCTGTGGATCGTACCTCGTGACGAGGGACGAGTCACGACTATGTGTGCTAGTGTTGACACTTCTCCCACCGAAATCATCACAGGCGTTTCGGTTTACGCTGGAAAAAACACTTTTAAGCCCCGGAGGCAGAAAACTTCAGATGCGAGGGTCTTGCTTCTGCAGGACGCCGAGGCACCCGGCTGGTTCCGAGCAGCGGCCTCGGAGAGAGCAGAGAGCGGCCCAGCTGAAATTCGGCACGGCGAGGCTCCGGCTTGGAATCGTCGTTGCGGAGCTCCAGCGCCAGGGGGCCGAGGATCGGCGCCTCGTGCAGCGGCAGCTGGACCATCTCGAGCGGCGGCTTCAGGTCGGAAGCGTCTTCGCGTGTTCCTCCCAAGAACTTTAACTTCTGGTTTAGGAGCAGCTTGCTATGCCGGCCAGTCGCGAGCGCTGGGCAGACCTCCAGGCTTCTGAACTTTTGACTTCAAACTTGGGTTACTTTAGCCTTAGCTGTAGTCTTGCACTTTTGATTAGACATGCTGTCTGGCAGGGCAGTGTCACTGGACTGCTGGAAGAGGTCGCAGGATTAGTCCGACGCGTGGAAGGCCTAGACGAAAAGTTGAGGACGGCCCAGCCGAAACACCTCTCCGCCCAAGATTGCACAGTTGGCAGGAGTCGGACTACAGCCTGCGAAGAGCTGCTGCGGCAGCGCACACGTGCAGCAGGCTCAGGGGTGATTCTTGCAATGCGTTGCAAGCTCGGACACACCTTGGCAGTGCTAAGATGCTGATGCATAGAAGTGAACACTTTTTGGCTAAGGAAGTGGAGCAGCAAATCCACAGCCAGCAGCAGAAGGCGATTTCCTGCATGACCAGAAAGGCGTGATGGCTTTGTACACGCAGAGATGCTTCCCAGGTCCAGCTGGCAGTTTCCACCTTTGAGGAGACCCGTCGCTCCGCCAAGCAGCAATTGCGTAAACGATAGTCACCTTTGTGACAAGGAGATGTCCAAGCGCCAAACTGCCAAGCTCCGCAAGGTGGTTCAAACTTCGGAGGCCGAGCGCAGCTTGGCTGCAGTCGAAGATCTGATCTGCAGACCTCACAGGAGCAAACACGGCGACTGGCCTCTCTGGAGGAGGCTTCCCGGCGCCCTGCGCAGGACCGGACTCTTGCCAGCGTTCTTGAGTGGTCCTGGGCGAGTTGTGAGATGAGAGGATGTGACGATGCGATTGGAGGCGCGACGACGGAGAAGAGAGGGGGGGGGGGAAAGCCGAGCCCGTCTCGGTTTTCGTCCACTGAGGCCCGGCTCTCGGAATTGGAAGGACAACAAGACAGCAGCTCAGTAAAGCACCGGGCAACTCGATTCGCGGCTGCCTCAGCCGCTCCGCTCTGAGGCGAGTTTGGAGGAAGAGTTCCGGAATGTGGCGACCGGCCAGAGACTGGACTCCCTCAGCCCCAGCAGGCGCATTCATGCGCGCTGCCCCAAGCTCTTTTGTTTTCCGCATCCGTTGAGAGTTAGGCCTAACTACGGTTCAACCTTCGCCCCACCGTCCTGACATCTGACATCCGCAGTCTTATTCCTGGCCATTACATCGCTCGAACAAAGTTTTTAGGCGTTGGCACTTGTAAGTCCCAACTTCGGAAGCGGCTGAAACAATAGAAGCTTTGAGAAGCCTTTATCCGCTTTGATTGACAATCTTCAAAGTTAAGGCACACTCAGATTTGCACAGTTGTTGCGAGTCTAGTTCGGCAAAATTTGCAGACGCTAAACCGTTAAACCTTTCAGCCTCGTTGATGCTTGGATGTTTTACACTCTACTTCTAGCTGCTTCTGGCCCCAACCAGCGGCCCCAGCATAAGGCCTGAAACATGCACGTCAGTGTGTCCAAACCATACGACTGTCATCAGATATGTGTGATATAGCCATAGGAGTGGGATCCTCACCACTTACCTTTTGAGTCTCACCAGCTAAACCCTCAGCTACAATTCCGTACAATGACGACAAACTCCGGAATGAAACCGGGGTCTTTCAAGGAAGAGGGAGAGGGACGAAATGGTGGGCGCAGTGAATTCAGGATGGACCGAAACCAAAAGAAGAAGTACCAGCAAAGGTCGCACAAGGAAATTGGCACAACAAGTCAGAATACATACCAATTGGTGCTCAGATGGAACGAAGCACAGTGAAGAGGAGCACCACGGCTCCAACTGCAGGCAATAGAAACTAGAAAGACGGGCTGTCGTAAAGCTGCACTTTGCGGGAAGATGGACGACCAACAACAGTTATTGTAGTGTTCACACAGCAAGGGGTGGGAGCCAGTGGGAGCACGGGGAAGAAGACAGTCCAGCAATTTTGGAATTGTAAGCGCCAATACGAAACAGACATACGCTGCCGAAAGCGCAACACGAGGAAGGTCGAGGACTCGGAAATCAGAAATTGGCAGGATCATTTCCCTCCGAACAGTTTGAAATTTCGAGAGAAGGACCAGCGGAAACACGATAGAGGCAACACGAGGGAATTAGTTTCAACTTCGAGAGTCCCCGGATGTTCTGACGGCTTCCTGGTTTTCAATGCTTTCGATTCCTTCTGCCACTTAATTTGCTTTCTGCTGTTTTCATGGCTGCCAGTTTCCTTCGGTCAAGTTGGTGTTTTGTTTTGAAACATTTTCTGCTTCTTGCTGCCTTCATGTTCGCAACTATAACTATACCCCTTTCAAGATTTGCAGGCCCCAAGCAAGTCAGCAAGTCTCAAGCTTTGCAGTAGGCATCAGTAGGTGTCGACACCAGGTCATCGGCTCACGCAGTGCATGCGGAGGGCCCGGGGTACGACGTGGTCCGTGCCGGGGGCTGAGGTAGAGCCTATAGGCCCAGCTGCGCGAAGAGAGCCCTCGAGGCCTTGGAGACCGAGCTCTCGACGCTCTCGAAGCAGTTGGCAGCACAGGCGTGCACAGCGTCGCTCGCACAGTGCCTCGCAACTGGCAGTGCTACAAGAGCCCGCAAGCCCTGTCCTTACTATCTGTGCTTAGCTCGACGACCACTCCTCGGCATTGGCCAGCCTGCGCGTGCGCACCGAGGGTCAGGACATTGTGGCATCTAAGATCCTGAAGTCAAGCCAAGAGACCGGAGTCACAGGAGCAACGTCTCGTCGCAGCAGGCGAGCGCCTGGAAAAGGTGGTGGCCCCGACGCTGGAGGTGGGCGAAAGTAGCCATGATTCACATGGTCATATGGTGGGGAAATGGGATTCGCATGTGGAGGCTTTTCGCGCCGAGATGCAGCAGCTTAGACTCGCGGATCGCTCCGAGATGGACCAGCGCTTCGAGCATCTGTCGAGGTGTGGCATTCCAGCACGTTGGGATATCAAATGTCCTGTCGTCACCACTTCAAGTGTTCATGCACCCCACTGAGCTTCAGGAACATATAGCATTACATTGACTCCTTTGCTTCACCGCTGATTTGATTAGTAAGGTTCATTATCATATGGACATATATGGACACATGCACATGCATGTTAGCACATTTGTTTCCGCTTGTACTCCTTCGTGTGAAGACGAAACTAAATTACAAGATTGCATATACACACATCTACATATGCAGAGAGAGAGAGAGAGGTTCCTCCTCTTATGAGGAGTGCAGGCTCTAAGGTCAGAGTTTTGTTGAATCTTGAACAACCAACCAGTTGAGTTTGTTGCCTTGGAGTGTGCTTACTACTACAAGGACCGCCCACGACGACGACGACGACCTCCTCCTCTACTACTACTACTACTACTACTACTACTACTACTACTACGCTGTCCCCCCCTGGTGCGACGCCCCAAGTTTTCTGATAGGCTTTGTACATGGATGCTCCCTTTTCTCAAATGCACTAGACCATGGACGTCATTAGGTTTTGGACATGGATGCACTCTTTTCTGAAACGCACTAGACCATGGACGTCATTAGGTTTTGGACATGGATGCTCCCTTTTCCAACGATTTGAATGAACATGATGATCACAATTAGGCCAAAAAAACCTTCATTCTAAT